TGTGAAAGTTTTTATAGCATTATGCAAAATTGCATACATTTTTGCAACCTCAAAAAAACACTGTTCCCATTAACTGACTGAACAAGTCTAAGGGAGGCAAATTTAAAAATTTTGGGCAAAATCTACAATTGCAATGGGCAGAAGAGTATTTTTACACAGCCAGTGATAGTAATCTGGAAATAGTTGCTGACGAGAGAAATGACGTGAGATGATGAACGATTTCAAGAAAAATATTGTTTGGGCACTTGAGGGAAACAAATTGTCAGAGTTAGGGGATGCAGTGGGAGAAAAAGGAGGGGACTGTTAGACTGTTCCACAGAGAATCTGTTTTACTTGGTTAGGTGAATTGTCTCCTATGCCAAACTGACATTTTTTACTACTACTCAGATATAATAATATGGAGCAGTGTGAATTAAACATACTTCAACATTTTGCAAGGAGAAATTCCATGGTTTTCCAGTTATTCCAGAATTCCCAGCATGTCTGTGTGGAGCTTGCACATCCTCCCCATGTCTGTGTGGGTTTCCTCTGGGTGCTCCGGTTTCCGCCCACAATCCAAAGATGTGCAGGCTAGGTGGACTGGCCATGCTAAATTGCCTGTAGTGTTCAGGGATGTGTAGATTAGGTGGGTTATAGGGGGATGGGTCTGGGTGGGATGCTCTGAGGGTCGGTGTGGACTTGTTGGGCCGAAGGGCCTGTTTCCACACTGTAGGGATTCTATGATTCAACAGAAATTGTACTTGCAAGGTCTGTGGCAACAAGATTCGTCCTCAACAGAAGTCTGACAGTGATGTAGTTGTTCCCCCATCTGAGTCACAATGTCTGAGTTTGATTCTCAGGCCATGGAAGATGGTTTATAATGTGTTCAGACAGTTTGATTATCAGCCAGTAAATCCTTCCAAAACACCTGATGGCAGGCAGTAAAAATGGAAGTCTCCCTGGTCAGCCATCTTGCAGAAGGCAACAGTAAACTACTGCAGAACATGGCCCATCCTCCAGAAACAAGGGGAGGAGAAAAGACAGACAGATGGATACAAATCTCAAATTACATACAAACAATGTTCTTCCATTTTCTGAGATAACAAGGTGTAGAGCTGGATGAACACAGCAGGCCAAGCAGCATCAGAGGAGCAGGAAGGCTGACGTTTCGGGCCTAGACCCTTCTTCAGAAATGGGAGAGGGGAAGGGGGATCTGAAATAAATAGGGAGAGAGGGGGAGGCAGATAGAAGATGGATAGAGGAGCAGATAGGTGGAGAGGAGACAGACCGGTCAAAGAGGCGGGGATGGAGCCAGTAAAGGGGAGTGTAGGTGGGAACGTAGGGGGGAGATAGGTCAGTCCATGTAGGACGGACAGGTCAAGGGGGCGGGATGAGGTTAGTAGGTCGGAGATGGGGGTGGGGTTTGAGGTGGGAGGAGGGGATAAGTGGGAGGAAAGACAGGTTAGGGAGGTGGGGACGAGCTGGGCTGGTTTTGGGATGCGGTAAGCTTCTTCTTCCATTTTCTGTCTTTTCTTGTGCATGGTAGTAATCCAATGCAGATTGATTTGCGTGTTGTTATTGCAAGTCAATCATCATTATTAAGTATGAATATCATCAACTACATACTTTGCAACGTTCACCTCCCAAATTTTAGACATTATTTCCTGAAATAAGAGAATGATCTCCAAGGAAGCACTTATAATACAACTAATTCCTTGTTTAAATCACATTAAAGTGCATTTTCTTTTTTGCTTGGTTTGTAAATGAACTAAGTTCCCTCAATAGCATTGCCACCATTTTCGCTGCAGCATAGTTAATGAACATGTTCAGTATTTCTTTAGAAAACTAAATCATCATTCCACTCACCATCTCCCTCACATGACTCCCCTGTTGACCACTGAGTCATTTGAATTTCCTGCTGCTTACTGTCTCCTCATTCCACTCTTGGGATGCTCATGCTTGCTACTCCCCTTGTATAGCCTTCCTGCTCATTGCCCTCCTCATCTGACTGTCTCGTGACCCTTCTGCTTACCAGGCCCTAGACTGATCCTTCCCCTGAGCTTCCCCTTCGCTGGCCCTCTGTTGCGACCCTCCCCTGACCCTTCTGGTTGTGGCCTCATCAGCCTAACCCTACTGCTCCCCACCTGACCCTGGTCCAATCCTCCGGTTTATCTCCATACCTAGCCTGACCTTCCTGCTCAATGCTTCCTTCCTATTCACATTTTCTTTTCCTGCTTCCTCCCACTTGCTGTTTCTTTCCGCTAAGTGTACTCAATAAAAATCACTCGCCTATGCTAATTTCCATCTAGAAGGACAAAGGCAACACTATAAGTTCCCCTCCAAGCCACTCACTGTCCTGACCTGGCAATGTGTCATCGCTCCTTCACTGTTGCTGGGTCAAAATCCTGGAATTCCATCCTAAAGGGCATTGTGGGTCTACCTACAGCATGTGGACTGCAGTAGTTCAAGAAGGCAACTCTCCACCACCTTAAGGGCATCTCGCGGTGGGCAATAAATGCTGGCCAATCAGAGGCACACATGTCCCAGGAGTGAATTAGCTTTCCTATTAAAAAAGAATGCAACCACGTTGGGTTACACACCTGATTTGCAATTTTAAGGTAAAGTGTACAGAACTATGGGGAGGAGACTGGAGAACTGCATAAGTTGGAATGCTCCTACGGAAAGCCAATGCAGACACTCTTTTGCAGTAATAATTCTGCAATTTTGTGAAATCCTATTTACTGCCTTGAACCTAACTGGCTCAAAAATCCTCGAATTGTATTACTCTTAATAACTTTTCTATTTACCTTCTTACCACATCCCACCTGCCACTTCTCACTCCCAATCCATGCTCTCTTTCTTCACACTCACCAATTCCTTCTCACTCTGGTCACTTCCTTTTTTTATTGCCTTCTCCCAACCGCGGATTTCCCTTTCCCTCCATCTTGTGGGAAATACTGAGGGCTCAGGTGACAGGGAGCAAGTGGGTAGAATTAGGTTTGGGCGAGGGACAGCAGGTGGAAGGGAATGAGTGGGAAGATGCAAGTGAGAGGCAAGAGGAAGGGAGTGAGGTGACGAGCAAGAAGAAGGAGTAGGGGGCCAGGTCATGGAAGCAGTGAGTAAGGGAAGAGAGAAAAGGAAACAGAAACAAGACAGATAAAGAGACCAAGCAAGCAGTGAGAGAGATGACGAGTCGAAAAGAGTGGTTGTGGGGAGTGAAGAGTGGCAAGCAGGAGGGAGCTGGTGTGTCAGAAGAGGGAAGCAGTGGGCAAAGAGTGAGGGTCATTGAGATACTGAAGAGGCAGGCGAGAGAAAGGAAGTAAAGCTGTGGGGGTCGGAGGGGTAGATGGTAAGTAGAAGGAAACAAGGGGTTGGAGGTCAGCAAGCAGCAGGAATGATGGTTAAGAGAAGGAAGCAAGAGGGATGGGATCAGAAGGTCCACCACCCTGTCATAAGAACCCCAACTCTCACCCAAAATGATTCAGGGAGCACACCTCATGGCCCAGATACAGTACCAGCCATCATTTTTCCCAAGGGCAGGTTTTCCTGTAACACTGCAGCTGATGGGAACTGGATCTATGGCACCTGCTTATTTCCACTTCAAGATTTAGAACTTTTAAAACAAGCTTTTGCTTGAACGAGAGCCAATGTAGCTTAGCAAGCACAGGGATTTATAGTGGAGCTGGATTTGCTGAGAGTTAAAGCATTAACAGCAGAATTTGAGTGACTTAAGGTTACCCAGGGTAAAATATCATGTGAAAGTGCAGGTGTTGGACTGGGTTGGACAAAGTCAGAAATCACATGACACCAGGTTATATTCCAACAAGTTTATTTGAAAAAACAAGCTTTTGGAGCCTCAATCCTTCTTCAGGTGTCAGGTAAAATATGGAAGACTAAAGGGTTTGAAGAGCCCAGTTTACAGTAACAAAGGGTGTCAGCAGCAAATGAGCCGAGATGGGTGCAGCCAAGTGATGCTATGGAGGTGTAAATAGGCTGTCTTAATGATGGTACAAATGTGTGCTTGGAAACTCAACTCAGGATCGAATGTGACACCAAGACTGTGAACATACTGGCTTGATCTTCCTGGGAGAATAATGAAGTTTGGAGGGATGGATTGAAAACAATGGCTTCAGTCTTTTCAAACATTAAACTAACAATGTGTCTTCAGATGACACTGCTAGGGGCAGCACGTAGCTGAGAAACAGCAGGGGACCAGGATAGATCTTTGGAAAATACAAGCTGTAACAATGTGGGAATGTGGGAACAGGAAGAGAAGACATTGCAAATGATTCTCTGGTTATGATTGGATGGATAACTATGGAACCATGCGAGAGCAGTAACACATAGCTGGATGACAGTGGAGGCACTGGAGCTGGATTTTGTGGTCAACTGCATAAGAAAGCTGTATACAGGTTTCCCAATTTCAGTCTCCCAATTCTAGCTCTTCAGAAAGTCTTACATTCCTTCTTATCAATTATAGCTTCAGCTTTCAGGTCCCAAACCTCTGGAATTTCCTAACTAAATCTCTCCACTTTTATAGTTTTTGCCCTTCTTTCTGTACAGTCCTTTAAAATCTGCCTTTTTGACCAAATCTTTAGTAACTTGTCCCAATATCTGAATGTACATAGAGTCATCGATTCATACAGTCATACAGCACGTAAACAGACCCTTTGGTCCAACTCATCTATGCTGACCAGCATCCTAATCTGACCTATTTGCCAGCATTTGGCCCATATCCCTCCAAACCTTTCCTATTCATATAAACATCCAGATACCTTTTAAATGTTGTAATTGTACTGGCCTGTCTGAAGTAATTTCTATGAAGTGCCTTGCATGTTTTCTGTGTTAAAAGATGCTACATGAATGCAAGCTGTTATATCATGGAATGGGATTGGATCAGTTTAGTTCACTGGTAAACAAGTTACTTTGCTCAAGCTCATCTGAGCCAACTCTATATTGAATAAATCTCCAAAACATAAGAGTTGCAACAGTATTGTGTACTCATGATCAACGAAGAGCACCTTGCATAGAAGTTCTGGAAATGCCTCCTGATTGGGAATCCAGCTCGTCGTATTTTCACAGTTTCCAACATTCCTGAATATCTCAGCTGGTTTAGCACAACTGCTTGGTCAAACTGATCTGGCATCTGAATGCAGAGAAAATTGGAATAAATGATATTAAATATATAATAAATATAAAGCAGCACAAATTAATGCAGTCATACTACAGCAATGGGAAATAATAATTGCTCATCATTCTCTCGTAATTTGAAGTGTGTCAGCTAGGAAAGCATTTTTTTAAACTTCATGAAGGCAACTACACATACATGAATTTCAGTAACGCTTTTGACAAGGTTCCACATGGAAGGCTGGTCCAAAAGATATGAGCCCCTTGTATCTAAGGCAAGTTATCAAACTGGATCAAAAATTGTCACGTAAATAAGAGGCAAAGGATGATGGTGGAGGGTTGTTTTTGTGATTGAAAGCCTGTGAACAGAAGTCTTTGTTATCTACATTAATGACTTTGATGTGAGCATTCAAGGTATAATCAGTAAATGTGCAGGTGACACAAAAAATTGGTAGTGTTGTTAATAGTGAGTAGAATGATCAATATCAAACTGTAGCCTGAGACCAGCTAGTAAATTGGGCAGAGCAATGGCAAATGGAACTTAATCCTAATGTGAGAGATGACAAAATTTGGGAGGTGCTATAAGGGAAGGATTTACATAACGAATGGTAGGTCCCTAGTGATACTGAGGAACAAAGGAACTTGGTGTTCAAGTTCAGAGATCCATTCAGAGATCCCTGATGGGTATCAGCACAGGTAGACACGGTGGTGAGGAAAGCATACGGATGCTAGCCTTCATCAGCCGGGGCATAGAATATAGGAGCAAAGAAGTCTTGTTTTATAAGTTGTAACATTGGTTAGGCCACAGATGAAATACTGTGCGCATGTCTGGTCACCACACTATCAGAAGGACATGATTGCACTGGAGGGTGAGGAGGAGATTCACCTGGATGTTTCCTGAGATGGAAGGTCTCAGTTACGAGGTGAGACTGGTTTGTTTTCCCTGCAGCAGAGGAGGCTGAGGGGGAATCTGATTGACGTATACAAAATTGAGGGGCATAGACAGGATAGATCGTGAGAATCTTTTTCCCATGGCAGATGTGTCTAAGAGCAGAGGGTGTGAGTTTATGGCAAGGAATAAGTCATTTAGCATGGGTCCAAGGGATTTTTTTTCCACCTAGAGGGTGGGACGGGCTGCCTGAGAGTGAGGTGGAGACAGATCCTCTTGCAACATTTAAGAAGCATCTGGATGCACTTAAAATGTCAGGGCAGAGTAGCATATGGACTAAGTGCAAGTAAATGGGTTTAATGTAGCTTAGTATTTGATTGTGGGCCTAGACATAGTGGACTGAAGAGCCTGTTTCTATGTATGTGACTCTACGATTTATTAATGGATGTCTGAACTTATTTCGGTCATTTAGCAGCTATAGACCATTCTTAATTTTTGATTAATTTGTAATTAGCACAATATGAAAATCTGAACTCAAATACAAATTGAAGTATAAAGTCTTCTAAAATTCTGCACCCAAGACAGATTGTTTCACCATGTATACATGTGAATTCCCCTGCCAAAACACCTTATCCTGGGATAGCAAGATAGTTTGGATGTAGCTTTCCACAATTACCATCAAATGTACATTGTAACAAGTCATCAGAAGCCAGGTTTTCAGTACGATGAACTGATCATTATATATCTTTCTTTTCTCCCCATATAATCATCACCAAAATAGACTGTTTCCCTTCCTGACATTCAAAATTCCATGCACTGGACTGAAAGAAATGTCAAAATATTAATAACAATGATAATTCAATTCAAATGACCCAGATATCTGTAACTTGACAGTAAAAATTTATCTTCAAGCTAGTTAAACAATGGTAAGTGTAATGCAAGGTCTTAAGTTAGATTTAACTGCCATTAGAAGGAAAGAGCTAAAATAACATGCACTTCTTTTTAAAAAGTGCCATTGACAGAATTTGCCATAAAAACAATGTGGAAGACTCTTGATATTATGAAACAAGCTTAAAACTTTACAGTGTTACAGACCTAACAAAATAGTTCACCAACGTTATTCCTGAACTACCCTGACCTCCTCCAGAGTTGCAGATATATTACAAGTGTAATAATTGTTGTATAAACATTAAAAATGCAGTAATTTTGGGCAGAACAACCAAGCTTGTAAGGCACTTTGTTTACCATAAAGGTGCACTGAACTTTAGTATTAAATACTGAAAATTCAACATCGACAAATTGAACTTAGAAGCAGGTTACTGTTTAAACAGCAGACATCAAGATCTTACAGACTTAGGACAGATCTCTGAAAAGGCACACCTGAATTAAAATGCCATTTATAAAACAGTGTGTTTGGAAAAGGTCATTATGTTCAAATATTACTATTAATTCCATGTGAAAACACACAAAAGAAGTCCTGTTTTTACAAACTAGCCTATATTATAAAGCTCTTCTACATAGCTCCAAAACTTGGACTACATATAGATGCCACCTCAAGACCCTTGAGAAGTACCATCAACATTATCTGAGACAGATTCTCCACATCAGCTGGGCAACAGGCACACTAACAGTGTCCTTGAGGCAGCTAACAGCTCCAGCTCTGAGGCCATGATCATCCAAAACCAACTCCACTGGGCTGGCCACGTGCTTAGGATGCCCGAGTTCTGAAGACTCTTGATATTACTACCAAAGCAAATCATCATCCAGCTCGAGGGGGGAACAAGAGGGGGACAAAGGAAGCTTTACAAAGACTCTCTGAAGGCTTCCTTCAAGAAATGCAAAATAGATGTCAATGCATAGCAGATCCTCATTCAAAAGAAACCAATTTAGAGGAGACTCCTGTATGACAGACAATTCTTTGATAACACCTGGCAGCAAAAGGAAGTACAGAAAAGAAATGCCAACAATCATAAGGCCAAAGACAAATTCCACCTCCCAGAAACACCTGCCAATGCTTGGTTGGAGATAGCAGGAACTGCAGATGCTGGAGAATCTGAGATAACAAGGTGTAGAGCTGGATGAACATAGCAGGCCAAGCAGCATCAGAGGAGCAGGAAGGCTGACGTTTCAGGCCTAGATCCTTCTTCAGAAAATGAAG